CTCGCCAGGGGGTTGGGTCATGTTTTTTCCGGGGGGTTCAGGTTTTTTTCAACCGGTTCTTTTTACGTTGAGAAATTTTCACTTCCTGGAACCCCTTCAGGGATTAAATTAAATGGACGAAACCCTTCATGAAGGTTTCCTCGCCCTCGTCCCGCCCCCTTTCCCCCGGGAGGGGAAATTTGGGCCCACACTAACCGGAAAGGAAAGGGGTCCCGTGAAAAGGCCCCCCCCCCCCCCCTTGAGGTAGAAAATTTGGCCAGCCGAACACTTTACAGGGGTCCATGCCAGGGACCCCCCCCCCCCCCCTACCCCCCGTGAGGTAGAGTATTCGTCAAGCCGAACACCTCAAACACAGTGTTTCGCGATTGGGGCTACTTACTGTACGTGAGCCTTGTCGGCAAAGAAACAACATCATCGTGCTTCGTGACGGGTTCATGGTCGAAACACCCTACCACTGCATAGTATCGCATGACCAATAAGAGTGAGGTACCATCTCTCCCTGCATTATCTACAACCGCAACAAGCGCGGCAACTGACTCACCCATGGGACAAACCAGCTCGGTGGACTGGCCCTTTTCGTCGTTGGTGTAAAACTCCTCCTTTTTCACGACCGGCTGCGTCGAACGAGGCAGGCGGGAGAGAGACACACGAAAAAAAAAAAAAAAAAAACGGAGAGTTAAAAGACAGGCAGGTAGATGTGTAGACTGACGAAATAAACAGAGGGAGAGAGAGGAGGGGCGTAAAAAGAACGAAAGCCACGACAAAAGAGGAAACACGAACCAAGAGGGTGTAAGTATCGAGATCACGCAACAACGACAACAACAACAACGTAAACTGTACCTTATCCGCCTGCTCGGCCTTATACCGCTTCTGGTCGTCCCTGGCTCGGGTGCGGTAGGCCTCTCGCTCGTCGCTGGCCAGCGTCTTCCAGATCTCGCTCATGATCTGAGAGGTTGTCGATTCGTCGGTAAGCGTATGAGGAGGTGACGAGAAAAACAAAACCACATGAATCGCGACGTTTTCGGAGATCGACATTTCCTTCCAGTACGTATATATTAGAAGTACAGCACAGCGGTTTTGAGAACTAGGGCACATGTGCTTGCATACCGTATTCGTTTCAACTTGTTCTTCCCGTCGGTTATTGGGGAGGCACAAACTGCAACTCGTGTGAACAGATCAGCTCTTCACAAATCCTTACCCTGCTCCCCCCCAACGGCAAGATCGATTCTTTCATCGCGAACGCAACGATTAAACACGAAGCTATAATATCGTGTACTTCTATAGGTGCCAAGACAACAGTAGTCTACATTCAGTCACAAACAAAGAAACCCATCGGAGAAGGCGTGTTGCACTCGGGGATGGCAGCACGTCGCCGCCTCGAACATCCAAAACCACGAAAAAATACTGCGGAGTGGTCTCGCCGGTCTTGGGGCCTCAGGTAACCGACTAACTCTCGACCCTGCCCCCCCTGCCCGCCGCCGCACCACCCCCGCGCTCCTGCTGTCATATCCCGTCTCTTCACACCTTCTGCTGCTGTGTGACAGCGATGTCCGGGTTGTCGCGCTTGACCTGCTCGCGCCGCTCCTGGATGAACAGCATCCACGCCGACTGCGGCTTCGACTGGCCCCCCGACGCCGCCTGCGAATCGCGCAAAACAGACAGAAAATTTAGTTTGGTGCTTGTTTCAACTCGTCGTCTCGCGTCAGGTTCCACCACACGTGACACACGTGTATACGCCCCGTCGCCAACAGGCTGTGCGTGCGTGTGTTTTCTATGATTGGCATCGACCCTGCGAACCTGCTGAACAATGAAAAGGCGTCAGTCTCAGTTCGGCTGAAAACAGAAAAATACTCTCAAAGCTACCATGATCTGGGACACCGTGAGGGGGTGTCATGGGGGAGGCTAATCTGCGGTGTGTACGTTCGTCTCATTTGTAATGGCGCCAGCTTACACACCTCTTGGCGAACGTTTTCTGACGTATCAGCCGGGGGTTACACAGGACGGACTTGTTTCATTTTCTTGCTGTTCTACACCTTTGACATCATGTCCCGCCCCGTCACAAACGACCCATTCCGTACAAAAACCACACAGAATTAGACCAGGTACGACATACCACGTCACAAATACATAATACCCGCCCACAAAAAACACCACCACTCGCAAACATTGCCCGCGCAACGCATCCACTCCCTCGCACCCCCTTATACTTCGGGGGACACCACGGCGAGCTCGTGTTGCAAATTACTGGTGCATAAAACAACATTTCGGTGCTTTTCCCGCGGCTCGATCATCCCGTGCTGTGCTCCGTTTCGATGAAAACACCAAATGAATATGTAGGGTTGTGGTGGGCTTGTTGTCCCAATTGGCGCGCCTGACGTGCATGGTTTGATTTCACATCCGTAGAACTGCATTACAAGAACCCCCAACTCCCTCTCACTCACTCGCTTCTTGCCCGACGACGTCCCCGCCCCTCCTCCCGTCGTACTCGTCGCCGGCGCGACACCGTTCGGGCCAGCCGCGCTTATGGGCCCAACCCCCGCCCCAGCCGGTCCCGCCGCCGTCGTGGCGGGTGTCGGTGCCGCCGCCACCGCCCCCGGTCCCGCCGTTGGTTCCGCCGCTTGTGGCACCGCCGCTTGTGGTACCGCCGCTTGTGGTACCGCCGCTTGTGGTACCGCCGCTGGTGTTGCTGCCGCCGGCACCGCCGCCGCCAGTGTTTCCTCTGGACCCACGGCGGTCGCCGAAACCGCCGCTCCCGCTCCACCGCCGGTCACCCCTTCGACCCCCACCCCGCTGCCGCCTCCGCCGGGGGCGGGGTCGGCGCCGTCGAGGCCGGGGCTCAGAGGACCCGCTTGCTGCACGGTTGTGGTAGGGCTCTGCACGGTTGCATCCGTGGGGGGTGCCGTAGTCGTCGCCGCGGCGGCGGCCGCCGCAGCAGCCGCGGCGGCATTCGACACGGAGTGAGACATCGGAGGGAGCTGTGACGACGACGACGACGCTGCTGCTGCTGCTTGTGGCGCGGCGGGGGCGGGGGATGAGGCGCCGTTGCCGCTACTACCGCCGTCGCCGCCACCGTCCGCGCCCACGAAGGCCGAAGCTGCGGCGGCGCTAGCGGCCGCCGTGGCCGCCGCGGCGACCAGGGAAGAGGCGGGGGCGCCAGCAGCGCCCGTGTCGGCCATGATTTGGTGTGGAGGGGGCCGCCTGCCTTCGCGAATGCACCAGGCCTCTTGGGAGACTGCTGTTCGGCGCGGTTGACGTACGGGTTGGGGGTTGGAGAAAGAGAGGGCGGGAGAGGGAGGTGAAACAGACGTTTCCCCTGGCGCGTGTTGCGATACGGGTAAAATCGAAAGCACTGGCCTTCTGGTGGCACTGCTGTGTCCGTAAACAGGGTTCCCCCTTCCCGAAGAGATTCAAATCGCCTCAACCGTCCGCACAAAAGCCAATATAATACTTCATTTTTTCATTATTTCGCTTTGGACAGATGACATGAGGTTCTTTCCGAACAACGTATACTAGGAACTCCCACCTGCCGCCACTTCTTTTGTTGCGGAGAAGTCTCGAGTGGCAGCAGCTCTAGAAACGGGATGTCCTGCACACATGTCTCTGTTTAGCTACAACACACGTGTGAGTGGTACGCATGTAAATAGTACCAACAGGACTTCACTTCCATCCGTCATCCAGTGTTCCCGGCCTTGGGCAGAATGAAATGGTCGACGCTTGAGCCGTGCCGGAAACACTGTTTTCCACAGCACAGCGGGTATACCTTTGCTGACATACGACAACAGGGCACAACATCTGCTGTATGCTGGCACTGCTGTTGGACTGGCTTTAGAGGGCGAGGGACGGCGAGGGACACGCGACGGCAGACCATTATGTTTTGAAGTACGGTAACGAAGGACCCATCCTGCCGCAATTCATGTGTGCTGCCATGAGGTCGCGCATCTGCTAGTACAAACTACGGCTCACCTCAGACAATACAAAGATTTTTCCCTTGTCAGCGTCGTTCGCCCCGAAGCCCGCGCGTGCTGCTTGCTGCTGCTGGTGGTGGTGCTGTGTGGAGGTGTGCCATCTCCTCTTGCTTGGTCTCGAGAAAAGGGGCTACGCAAATTAAACGTAACTTGACTACATACCCCGATACCCACCTTTCATAACAGTCTCGCCGCATCTCCACCCCATGTCAATCTGGACAGCACATCACTCTCCTCTCTCTCTCTCTCTCTGTCAGCTCTCGTTGGTTGGTGCCACAATTGGTTAGCATCGCTTCCATGCTTTCATCGAGATGTGCCTGCGCAAGTGCTGCTGCACGCGTTGCTTTGTACTCCGCTAGAGGGAGCTCAGCAGCAGCAACGGCAGCAGCAGCAACAGCGAGAGGTAGCAGTAAGACGTTGACTCATCGCTCGCTCCGCACCAGGTCCTCGGCGCACTACCTCAGAACGAGGAATCAGGCACAGGCATGTGGTAGACGGCAGCAGCAGCAACAAGCCTCCACTCTGTCCGGAGACAAGCTGGTGGAACCTCCGACAGCGGTTGTTGGCGGCAAGGTTGGTGCTGCTTCCTCGAAGAACAGGGCAGTTGCGGCGTGGCTGTTCGGCACAGCCGGGGCCGTTGCGGTCATGGTGACCGTCGGCGGCATCACGCGGATGACCAAGTCGGGGCTGAGCATGACGGACTGGAAGGTTCAGGGCTCGCTTCCGCCATCCTCCGAGGTTAGTCAGCGGCGTCTCTGCCGCGGGTAGTGCAGTCAGCGTGCTGAGGTTGCATCATCGCGCCGCTACGACTTACGTGCTTTGTCTTAGACTGTACCTGCCTGCCTCAGTTCTGCTGATCGACACCTAGAAGGAGACAGCGTTTCCATGATAGCACAATGGCCTCTGTCGAACGTTTTGCACTGGTGGCACCACTACTGCCAACCCCATTGGTTTACGGGTCCGTCCGCACGGAGCAGTTGTACATGAACCACTGCTGTTTCGCACGAAGAGGTGATGAGACCCGCTTCGCGTATCCATCCCCGGCAACAGCAGAGTCGCGCGCCGGGAGATCGTGCCGATGCCATCGCTTCCAAACCCTTGTAACAGAGGAACGCGTATACATGCAGGCGTAACTCATTTTGTCCGCATCTTCGGCCAACTCGAGTGGGTAAGCGATCTAGACTACCCTCGGCGTTGCGGTGCAACAGACACTCGCACAGCGCTCCGTCTTGTTGTTCATTGATTGACCAGCCGGTTAGCGCGTGCGATTTTGTTGTATTTGAAAAACATACACCGCGACCCACAGCGCACTTCGCGCGTCGTAGATCTTTCGAGCGATGCATTGTGTTCGAATCATGTTCTCGTCGGTTTGTGTGTGTGTTTTCCCTCTTTGTGAAGGCGGAGTGGGAGGCGGAGTTCGACCGGTACAAGGCGTTCCCGGAGTGGCAGCAGCGCCGCAGCATGACGCTGGACGAGTTCAAGCACATCTTCTTCTGGGAGGTAGGCTGGGGTGTACACATGGCGGTGTGTTTTAAGCATCGTTCACGAGGCTCGACGGGGAGAAGAAAACATCATGAGAACGTGTTTCTTGTGCGTCATCGAAGAGCCGGTGTCGTTTCGGCGTTACTCGAGCAATGGCGACGAGACGTAGCTAGACCCCTCTTCTTGCTACCGTTCCGTTCCCGTTACGCCATTCCTTTATCCTCAATCGCCAACTCGAGAAAAACAACTGTTTCGCTGGTGTCCCACCCGTTATCCCTCGTGGCGCTTCTCCTGGACGACAACAGTACGCCCACAGGATGCTAGGGCGTGCGCTGGGCGTGATCTACGGGGTGCCGCTGCTGTACTTCGGCCTCCGCGGAAGAATCCCCGCGCACATCCGCGGGAGGGTGGCCGGACTGTTTGCCCTCGGCGGCGCGCAGGGCCTGGTCGGGTGGTGGATGGTCAAGAGCGGACTCGAGGTACACTACTACATAGCAGTGGTTTTCCCGGCACTGGAAGTAGCAGTGGGGGACAAATAGCCCTATCTAGCTGTTGGTGTGCGCTCCTGGAATGGGTGGTCGACTGGCTGTTTGGATATTGGACGAGGTTGGTTTGGTAGTGAGCTTTCTTTGGGTTTTGCTGTTAGAGTGGCATTGCTTCCCCTCCACCCGGCGGGTACGCGTATGACCCCCGGATTGTACCGCCCCGTGGTCGGCCATGCAATGAGGGCCAATCAACCGAAAGCTGTCTCTTTTTACGTTCACGGGGTAGTTGTCGATCGTACTGCTTCGTCTCCGCTCTGTACGACTGCCCCGCCCGCCCGGTCTTCTCCCTCTCCTTGTGGCGCAGAGGATTCTCGACTTTCTTCCGCGTCTGATCCCTCTGTCGTCCATTTCGGTTTCACTGTCCCGTGTTCCGTCTGTACCCCACTTACGGTTCATTGCTCTTCCGCGCCCTTCGGACGCTTTCGCGCGTGTTCGGGTTGGTTGCGGCGGGTTTCCAGGACCGTTCCGCGGACCTTGCCGTGGGGAAGGAGATCCGAGTGAGCCCCTACCGACTGGCGGCACACCTGGCCACCGCCTTCGCCACGTTTTCGCTGCTCGTGCACACCGGTTTCCAGGTGGGGCTGACTGAGGGCTCGATACACTTTCGAGCGGCTGTAGTGCCGGTGGTGTGTTAGGCGGAACGCAGCGTATCAATTTTGGTTATGGTGTCGCCCGTCACCTGGAAGTGGCGACACGCACCAACTTGTCACGCACTTTTGGTTTGTGTGTACCGTTCTGCTGTTTGCTGCGGGCTGCCATCGGGGGCAGCATACGGGTGCCAAAAGGCGTCCTGCTCGTACAATTGCGGAAAAACGCCCGGTGGTCTTTCGACACTGTGAGTTTTTCGCACGATGAGGAAAGCACTTTGTGCTCGAATTCATTGCCACCCGTCGCCCAACCTTACAAAAGCCTTCGATGGTGGGTTGTCCCTTTCCCCTCTGAGACCTTCCTCGTCCCCCATCCTCTCCTAGATGTGGAACCACATTTCCCGACCGCGTGCCCCCTCTCTCCTCTTTTTTCGCTGCACACCGCCGCCACAACAAAAAAAAAGGCCCTCGATGGTCCCCGCACGGCCTCACCTTCCGCCGCGGACGCAGCCCGCCGCCTCCTCGACGCGGGGGTGATGCGGCAGGGGTCCAACCTCCGGGTGATGGCCATGGGCGTGTGCGGGGCCGCCTTCGTGACGGCGGTGTCCGGGGCGTTCGTGGCCGGCAACGACGCGGGCCGGTGCTACAACTGCTTCCCGAAGATGACGGAGGAGGACTGGCTGCCGGAAGAGGTGACTCTTGTTGTTGTTGTTATTGTTGTTGTTGTTGTTGTTGTTGTTGTTGTTGTTGTTGTTGTTGTTTTTCCTCCCCCTTCTTTCGTTTTATTTGCCGTCGTCGTTCGCCGCTTTTGGGTACCCTCTCGCCTCTTCCTTCAGGAGTGGATTTTTGAAATATTTTTTGACATGTGGTGTTTGGTTGATGTCTACGGGTCCACTTGGTGGATGGCGTTTGGAATGGAGTAGTGTGGGTGGTGACCGGCATCGTGATGTTGCTTGTCGTGTTGCTCTAGAAGTAGCGGCCATGCCGGGAAGCGGCGAGGGCCACAGACTTTCCCCCACTTTTTTTTTTTACGGAGGCGTCCGACTGTCGGAGTTGAGGTGAGATGGCGATATTGACACTCGAGCTGTTGGCACGACCCGCAGAGCACGGTGCTAAAATATTTCGCGTTTCCTCCAAGAGAACACGGAGGGCGGATGTTCAACAATAGCTTGTCGAGCTTGCCGCTACCCCATCCCCTCTACGATCCCCGATCCACCCCCTTTCACGCTTTGCCGTCGCCACCGACGCCACGGCGCAACCGCGTACGAACTATCGATCAGATTCTCGCGTTCAGACCGATGTGGAGAAATTTCTTCGAAAATTCTGCGACGGTTCAAGCGGACCACCGCGCGCTCGCTCTCAGCACGACGGGAGCGGCCCTCGGCATGTTCTGGTACGCTAGGAGAGGGGCCGGTGGCGGCACGGGGGCTCTTTGGGCGGCGCTGCCGGCGGCGCCAAGGGCGGCAACGACGGCAACGGCGGGTCTCGTGACGGCACAGGTGATTTTTTGTGGTGTGCGGCTTCATTCCCTCCTTTTTTTTGTTTTGGAGAAAAATTTCGATTCTTGATGCCACACACATGATGCACCGCTGACCTGCCTCGTCGGGTCTTGATTTGTTTTTTTTTGGCCCAGGGTGAAGGGGGTGTATCAAGCTATGCAGCGCCATCAATCATGAGTTTCGTACGTTTGTTTCTATTGGCAACGACCATCTGTTGTCGGCAGGATCGGTTTGCGTAACGGCGGGATTTTGATTCCCGATGCCTTCGTTCTATTGGCGCCCGTGGGTCGACAACGGATCTTGTTTCGTGCAGTCCGATGGGCTCTTTGCCTTGTTGGCGCCCCTGCCAGCCGGCGTAATCGCCGACCTTTCCCTCTTGCCCTCTCTCGCTCTTGCCCTCTCTCACTCTTCCTCTCTGCCCCCCCCCGGCCGTCTGTTGGAACTCTCTTTCTTCTGGGTCTTCGTGTTTTCGCTTGGTTCACCAGGCCTCCCTCGGCATCACGACGCTCCTGCAGTGCGCGCCCCTCCCCCTCGCTGCCTCGCACCAGGCGGGCGCCCTAACGGTTCTGGCCTCCTCCATGTGGGCGGCGCACTCCCTGAGGTTTGCCCGCGTGCCGCCCTCGGCGGTGGCACCGTCGTCGTCGATCTCCCCCAAGATGCCGCCGCCGGTAGGGTCGTAGTAGCCTCCTCGCTTGAGGCGGCGTCCCTTCGTTTGATTTTATCCCACTTTCGGTTCTGGGGCTCATCTTGGGACTATCACGTACATCGACTTCCGCCACACCGGCACGGGCCTCGTGCGTGCCAAGCTCCGGGGGCTTAGCCACGGCATTCTCCGACGCCGGGGCTCCGTGAATGTAAGCGCCTAGGTGGCTCTAAAGAACCCGTATGAAGGAGCAACCAAAAATATCCCCACGGCGTTTTTCGTCGTATCGTGGAGTATGCTCAAGGGCATCGATTCCGCTCTGTCTGTGTTCCACGCGTTGGGAACAAGGTGCTTGGAGAGCCGGTGGTATCGGCAGCTCGTTTTGGCGTCACTACCCGGAGAGGGTGGGGTCCCCGCAGACTGGTCTTGGGGGCGGGTGGGCTGGGTTTGTTTCCCCCTTGGTGTGGGCGTGTACGGAGAGGAGGTCGGCTTGACTTTGTGGTGGGTGGAGTTTTCCGCCGGTGAAAGTGTTTCGGACGCAAAGTAGTCCCAACAGGTTACGCATAATGTCCGCTTTTGGTAAAACAACAGTCACTTGCACCCGCTGGTAACAGCAACAATTGGTATCTACACGTTGAGCGTGTGACGGGGTGTGCAGTTTTTGGTTTCTCCGGATATGTGGAAAGGTGTGGTAGTTTTGTGCGACGAGCGAAGACTGATGTGTGCGTGTCTTGCTGTCGTGTGCGTGTTCATTTCGTCTAGGAGATAAGTCTCTATGTTTTTGTCTTTTCTTGCTCTGTGGGATTGGCGTGCAGGCTTAGGTTGCATGGTCACCTGGCAACTTGTAGGGTGATGTAGCGAGTACCTATATATATATATCGAACTTGCAGCCTCTCCTGTCAGCCCTGTGCAGAACTTGACCAGCCGAGGACAGTGTTGTGCTCGGTGTTTCTTCAAAACCGCCAAACACGGGCTTGGCAATGTCTCGTCGGGAGTTACGGGGCCAGCACACCCCATAAAGGCATCCTGGAGCTACAGTAGGAGTGCGGCAACGCGGGTGCTGGAAACGTGCGGTGCAGTTATGAAAGGGGCGGCCCGCCCCCTCGCCAAAACGCCACGGATATGTAGAGTGCCAAATGATGGGACGGCGTTTTGTGACCTCTATTGCGATACTGGCACAAACCCTACGGGGCTTGCTGTCAATTGTTCTTTCCGTGTGCTGCAGTGGGACCGCGGCAACCAGTTAACTACAACGATATTCGTCGGCTTGCTCTTTAACAAGTGACTTCAAACCAAAACGCCGCCCACGCGTCAAACACGCATTCTACCCAAAGGTGTAAGCTGGCACCCAGCATGGAAAATGGGACGAAAACACAGACAGACCAAAACGCACACACGACACCAACACAACAAGAAATCGGATGCGAGGAAACCTCACTGCAGACAGACTGAACAAGGATGCCAGCATCGGAGTGGATATCGCGGGGTGACTGCTACGTGCGAGTGGATATGTAGTATTCTCCTTTCGCATGTACCCCGAATCTCAAGACTGGACCCGGTCTCCTGCCTCCCCTTGTAGAAGGAGCCCGATGTCTAGTAGCCGCGTTCATGTTTGGTATCCTGCTTGTTTAAGACAGAAGACTGGCATATTTTCAGTGATCACGGTATGAAGTCATTTCCATGTGAATATCCTTGACTCCTGTCTGTGGGGAAGAGATGAACGTAAGTGCTATTTCTTGTAAACCAAAATCACCCTATTCAACATGAACTCCCAACTTGTAACGGCCGGTTTTATTTGTATGCCCCTTCGTATCCCTTTGATCCCGCCGCAGTCGTCGATCGCCGTCGCATACACCGTCATCTTCCCACTACCACAGCACTCCGGCAAGGAAGGTTCTTTCTTAGTAAGCCACCTGCGAAGGTTCAATGTACCCTGTCGGGCCATCGTTGTAGTGTCCACGTCTTCGCATTCGTACATATGCGTACACGTGTCCATCGTACCGCCTGAGAGGGGATGCGCCTGTTGTTCTGCTTTAGAAGACTACGTATGGTGCATATCTGCTACACCATGTGGTACCAATGATGCGAGATTCCGATTCTCCAGACGGTAGGCATCCCGGACGGGTGCCTAGCATGCCCGGCAAAAGGCCAGGAACTTTCCGTCTAAATGCCTCATCCACCGGAACTCTACATGCTTGTTGTTTAGGGTTTCGATCAGAAAGGTTTCACATCTGGAGTACATCGGAGAGTGGAACATGACAACCGAGTCCTTGTCGCATTCTGCGAGACCTTCATCTCAACAAACACGCGCCCAGACAAACCAACCCTAATCATGCCGTGTAATAACCTCACCGATTATTAGACGTGCGGTCATGAGTTCTGCTGTTACGGTCCATTTTCGTTCCCGGTAAAGATGTAGCGCGCGGTCCACTGCTTACTTCGTCGGTGCGTGCGGTAACGCCCGGTGCTTCAGAAAAACATGGGTGGGTGTAGACTACAGCAATATATTGTACCACATTGCCATACGAAAATACTGCAGTCTACATAGTCTTGACAATATTTCTGTGTCATTTCATCACTCCAGTTGTTTACTACACAAAAGCTCGCAGGTTCTACCTACCGCAGGCTCTTGCTTGTCTAACAAAAGAGATTCAATCCGGTGTCACACAGAACGCGTCGTCTGCAGTGCATGTTTCATGTTGCCTTTTTTTTCGGCGGTTACAGCGGTGCAACAGCTGCAACGGGCTGCAAGCAGTTACCCCGCTCAAGTGTCGACTATACTCAACGCTTGTATGAGACGCGGAAACGTCACCTCGCTTAGATCCTACTTAGGTACCATTTGCCGCAAGTAAGCCGTGCTGCATTTGGTAGGGCCATTGGGGCGATCGGTGTGTGTTGAGGATTTTACGACACCACTAAGAACTAAAGTCTAGTGTGGAACCGGCCACAGGTTCCGTTTCGGCGGCGCGGCAGTTGCGCCGCATGGTTCGCCCGGGCAGTTCGTGGGTGCGTCTGTGTACTGTCTACACTCAGGGCGGTGCTCTCGTCTTGCACGTGCCATTGACACCCCGCACAACAAGCTACGTCTGAACAGGTATGCCGCGCTTCGGATACCTGGTGACTGCATTTCTCGAGTGTATGCTGGGACTTTCTGTGTGAAGAAGACCAGCAATACAACAACACTGTATCTTGGCGGGTCTCGACTGAATGATACGTATGCACATATGCATACCTCAGAATATAGACTAGTCTACATAGTCTGAACTCTACACAGTTTTATGCTTGCAAGAAAAACAAGTCAAAGGACTAGCCATCATCCGAGACACAGGCCTTCACACTATATATCAGCAGGACGGAATGGTGCCATCAGGACGAATAATGTTTCGCGAAACTCACGCACACCGGGCGCATGCCATAGACTAAGCTACTTCTCTCATTTCCTGCCACTACTGTCCCCTGCGCAAAACATGGTTAGGCAAACAGCATACCAGTCACCTGCGCGAGCGATCAAGCAAAATTGGTCTAGCCGTCGTGTATTCCAATTACAGTACACGAGGTTGCCTTTGCACATTGACGGGGAAACGTGCCAGCCACACATCAGTGCTCCGGTCGATATGCTGTACATAGTCTCTACTCAACGTACGAAAAACGGCGTTCACTGCCTGAAACTCGAGTCCGGCCCGTTCCGTTAAGGGTTTGAAGAGGGATGCTAACACACCAACGTTATTTCTGGTCATCTATACGTACCGCAGGGTGGCGAGGACAGGTAATATCACGGCAGCCGTGATACCCTGTAGCGTTCATAATGGACGACAAGCTGTAGTCGGAACGTGTTGATTCATGAACCCCAATCTATTATAGGATGCGAATAATAATCAGTAGTCAAAAGCTCGACGATTTAGTTCCACAACTGCTGGCCTTGATCCCGAAATCAACGCTCACGCAGACAATTACCCATTGCACATGCATTGGTCGGCGAGCAGGCCAACACTTTACTTCCTGGAGTGTGGGACGAGATGGATCGCCCAAAGATGCAAGACTCACCCACGCGCCACCAAATTACACTCCGGCATTTGGATGCAGAGGCCCCCCAGCTCCTGGGTGACCTACATCACGTCATCAAGTGAATGAGCGAAACCTGACAATAATATTGCACTGATACAACAGGGGGCAAACGAACGACATTTGACGGGATGAGCGTTCTGGACATGCCCCATTCAAGCCACGCGCAGTGCGGTCATCTCCCCGTCACTTGCTGCGGAATGATGAGGAATCACCAATGGCTGACGGCAACGTACTGCCGAGCATGTGTAGCGGCCGTGGAGGGGTGAGAGATACCGGCTGGCCATGAAACGGGCACAACACTTATGAATTCGTCAATAGCTGTGCTACGAAGTAGTTCCTAGGGCATGACCAACCCACCCGTGCGATGCGTTACGAAATATGGGCTTGCAATTGCCGAATCATCAACCAGAGGACCACGAAATCCACTGATTACACTGTATTATTTGCGATTGTACTGAGACGACTATCGTACGCAATGCCACGCCTTGATTGTCCTGGTGTTTTCGGAAGCTCGCCTGTTATTTTTGCATACATCTATCAAACGTTGTGTTGCTCGTTCTAAATGCCAGGTCAGTGAGAAGGTGTACAAATGAGGCAGACAACGGAGCGGCCTCTAACGCGTCAAAACAACAGCTAGAGTCGGCTAAATGCGAGTACATGTCGGCTTGCCTGAAAGCCATCTCATCAAAGGGAGTAGAACCAGGTGTGCGACCCAAGAAGATATTTTCCCTACGAAATCTGCTAATATGTGTACTTCAGATGTGCGTATTACTACGGTTCAAGCGCGAATGCGCTCGTTTTTGGAATAATTTCCCTCCCTCCATACAATAGATTGGCCGTTCAGTTGAGCGAAACCGACAACGGCGTATGTATCTGAGAGCTCTGTCAATATCATCATGCCCGCGGTACTGTAGAGCGAGTCCTTTGGACCGCTTGTTTTTCCGCGTTTCGGGCGCTGACGATGCCCGGTTC